AATAAAAATGAATTATCACATTAATTAAGTTATAAAAAATTACATTAAAATCATTTTATTTATGGAAATATTACAACAATAGTAATTGATGACTGAATGATATAGCTTTGTTTATTAGATTTAACTAACAATACCACTAAATCCTGATTCGATACAAATAAATTCGTTCGAATACCCAGTTCATTCGCTTTATCCGAATATAATAAATCCGGTTCATTTTCATCCAGAAATAAGAAATCTGGTTCAATTGTATCATCCGTTCTAAGTCCTAGATTTTTGTGTGCTTTGGAGTATATCAGTTGCTGCATTTACTGAGTAACAATTACATTAATCATAAAGCCATTTTAGACATGGTCATTTTTAAATGTTTCAAGTATTGAAAAATGTCAACGGATATTATTAATTATAAATTTCAAGACAATATTAAGAACTTAATTTGAAAAAAAAGTAAAATGACTTAGTAATTTACAAAACAATTTTGTTGAACTATTATAATGCTTTCTCAAGACTTTTTTTTCGACTTGTTCGTTTTTCACTGTTCGTTAATTCACAGCTTTATAAGCAAATTCCCAAAATAAACTATGTTGAGCTTAATCAAGCCTTGTTGTTTGACTCGAAAATTTTTTAACTGTATTGAGTCCCAAAGATTCGGACGAAACGTGATTATTTTTGAATAAGGTTTAGAATTCAGGATGAATGATTTATTCTTTTACATTGAGTATTATGATATTTATATACTAATTTAAGAAAATAAAATACTTTTTTACGTGGATAACTCTTCAGCAAAACTTTCAATCAAATTATACACCTACGCCAATAATTTTTTAATTGCTAATTGAAAATACCCGAAGCCAAAGTTGCGTTCCCATTCCTAAAGAAATTGAATCTTATAAAAGATAATTATAAGTTTGAAATGGCAAATAATTTAAAAATTAAAAAAAAATTCTTCTGAAATTTTGATTGAATACTTTATTGTAGCATTGTGCTACCAATGGATGTAAATACTGTTTATATAAATGGTTTGTGCTTTATTATTTTTTAAAAGAAAAAAGTAAAACTGAAATTAATAAATTTTTCTTTTCATAAATATGGAATTGAAGAATAGGTTTATAAAACTAAATAAAGTATGCAAAGAAAAATAATTTTTGGCTTTCATATATATTGGCGAGTAAGATTTTTGATAAAATTCCTGAATTATACAATAACAGGGTACATTTGAAGGGAATTTAAAACATTCTTACATGTAAAATCTAAAGAAATCTATCGTGTCTCAAAAATTGTATAGATACGAGATCTTTACATATTAATATCAAATATCTTTTCACGATTCAGAAACTGAATATGAAAATAGGCTTAAAATTAAATTATTCCTGATGTTACGATATTTTTATCATGTAAATGTAAATAAAAATACATTATTGATAAAAGAAATGCTTGTATAATTAATAAATAAATGCTTGAACAATAAAGTTAAATTGTTGAAAAAGTAATAATTTTTAGTTAAATTTTATCAAGGTGTTAGAAGTTGTAGGATAGTTGTTTGATTATTGGTTTTTTAAATATTCAGGGTAGATTGTCGTTAAGGAATCGGGTTTATTTGGTAAGCTAGTTATTTGAGTGTTAGAACAGTTAAGATAAGTTAAAGAGTATGGTAATGTTGTTGGTAATCTTGTTATTTGAGTTTCAAAGCACCTAAGAAATAATAAGGATTTAGGCAATGTTGGTAAGTTTGTTATTGGAGTTTTATAGCAACGGAGTTCCGTTAAGAAGTCAGGTAATATTGGTAAGCTTGTTATTTGAGTATCAGAACACCAGAGTACCGTTAAGGAGTCAGGTAATGTTGGTAAGCTTGTTATTTGAGTTTTATAGCAACGGAGTTCCGTTAAGGAGTCAGGTAATGTTGGTAAGCTTTTTATTTGAAAATTATTACAAATGAGTTCCGTCAACTTTCGATATCTTTGCAATCCGCCAAAGTTGTTCAATATGTCATCCTTATTAGCATCTGTTATGGTTATACTTTCAATAGTATCATCATAAATAATTAATTCAAGATTTCTGATTCTCTTTTCTAATTCATTAATAATTTCTTGCTTTTTTTTTGGACACTTCTTCTCGTTCTCTAATCTTTTCTTCTAAATTATTAATAATTTCTTGGCTTTGGTTTCCTCTTCTCGTTCTCTAACCTTTTCTTCTAAATTATTAATAATTTCTTGCTTGGCTTTGGTTTCTTCTTCTCGTTCTCCAAGTTTTTCTTCAAAATATTTGAATTGTGAACGTAACCCTTCGTTACTTTGCTCTAATTCCTTAATTCTCGTTTCCAAGTCCCTTAACGTTCTTTCAAAATTGTTCCTTAAAACCATTTTTTTGTCTGAATTTTTTTTAATTTAAATTGTTTGAAAGACAGTAGAGAATGAGTTTTTTTGCTCAGCCCTCGGTTTAAATTTTTTCCAACGGTAATTTTATCCATATATTATAGTCGTGTGACTTAAAAAGGATTTAACCGCTTCTTGTCTTACTTAAAAAGTTAATTGCTTTCTGAAAGTCAAAAATTAAATTATTTTATTATAATGCGGCAAGCGATCTTCGTCTTCAGCTCCAAAAAATAAAAAATAAAAAAAAAATTCGAGTCATAATCAAACTTAAATTCGCAACGAACTTATTTTTCTTGAGAGAAATTCTTACAACAATTCTACATACAATGGAGGGAATTTACGAAAAAAAGCGTAGATCATTACGATCAAATAATGGTCTTGAAGATACTGTATATCATTTCGGTCGAGAGGCGTTAATAATTTTCTTATGATATAATCATTTCTATCTATGTATTGCTGTGTAAAAAAGTGTATTGAATAAATTGGCAAGGATTTACTAGAGACGGATTTAATATTTTGATTACCTTTAGGCCGCTCCAACAAATAGTTTCGTTTAACATCAACCTCCCCCCTCTATTTTTTCAAAAATTTAGATTTAAACAAACATTTACATATCACGTGACTTCATAAAAAATATAATGTAAAATCAATTTATTTGAAAAATTTTTTTATTATAAGATTATATTAAGAATTGTTTTATTAAAAGATTAAGATTATACTATACTATTATGTCCTTTTTCTTTTTTTTGTTGATTCCCCAACTTTTTTTTTACCCCAAGTATGAAAAGAATGACCTGAAAGTTGACAATTAGAACAAAGTGGATATACAGATTGATATCCATTAAGCAAATCATCACTTGCCTCCACTAATGAATTATTTTTACCACAATAATAACAAATAGGAGATTTTTTTAAACGGCTTGAATAATAACCACTTTCGATTGGAGAATCACAGCTAAGAAATTAACGAATAAAAATTATATTTTTCAACTTGTGTGAAAGTGGTATCCATCCTTTCATCCCGCAAGTAAAATCAGTATCATCTATTTGAGTTGTAATATGGATATCTGTTCTTTTTTCAGAGCATTCATACTATAAATACATTGAATTTTTCCACAAAAATCACATTCAACAAACTCTCAAACACGATTATTATTAAAGATGCCTGGGGTAAATTATCAGCTTCTGGTTGTCCCGCTTTACTTGGACTAAACTTTTCAGATGTTTGAGTACTATATACGCTTAAAAAATCCTTATCCCTTAGACTGTAGAAGTTCGCAGGCAAATTTGCCTGCTTATTTACTATAAATTCCCTTCTGATTTACTTTTATGAAAAATTAAAATTTTTAA